TTTTTATCATTTATCATTATTTTTTTTTAATATAGAACAAATTGGTTTTTGTATTAGCTTTTATTATTAAATATTTGTTAATAAATAATATATCGCTATTGGCTGATTTTTATAATACTTATTTAGTCGAATTGAAGCTGATTTATGATGGAATTTATATTCCGAATTAATGTCAAATGGTTATATTGGATTGAGTTGATTGGCGTCGATTTGGCTAAATTAAAGCCGATTTATGATGGAATTTATATTCTGAATTGATACTAAATGGTTTTATCGATTGACGTCAATTTGTATTATCTGTTTGGGTCGATCAGCGTAGATTGTGCTGATCAGAAAATAATAAATCTGCTGAAAATAGTAACAAAATCAGCCTAAATTCAGCCATCCGATTTATAGCTGATTTGGACTATTTCGACCAGTATCCTCTGGATGCGAACCTCAAAAATAATGATCCTGAAATTATGGAATATGATGAAGTTGAACCGTTTGTAGACACTGTAACATCCATCATCATCCAACAATGAAAAACAATTGAAGGACTTAGGAATCTTAACGAAATGCATCAAAATAGATTGAAATTCTTCACAACTATGGTTAACACCTTGGTCAAATCTTGTGCTACCTTTTAGACTGTCCTCATACAGAATGATATGCTCCTCAAAGATATGGCCAATATGATTTTTCCACTTGGAGAGGGTTTCGATAATGATGTCGGAAACTATTTCAAGAAATTACCATCTTTTTAAATCCGTTTCTAATGAATACTGTCTCTACAGATGATTCTACACAAGATGTACACCCTATCATAAACATTGACTCTGCTTCTTCCTCTCCACTTATTTCTTTCACATCACAAAATGTTCGTTCTTTTACTAACGTTGCTAAGCAAAACTCACTTATTGAATTTTACTCTTCTTTGAATTTAGATATTATTGGTCTTCAGGAAACTAATTTTTCTTATCCTTCAATCTGGTCCTTTAATAGCACATTTTCATTAACATACACAGGTTTCTTCGGACTGCCTTCTGATTCTCACAATCAAAAAACTGGCTTCAGCGTTGGATTATTGGTTCACCCCTATTTGGCAAATCATATTTTTCATCACGAATCCATACACAACCATATCATAATAATCGATTTGCAATTCAAAAACAAACAAAAGCTAAAAGTTATTAACTGCTACCTCTCACTGGGCAACCTCTCTCATAGAAAACCCATCCAAACAGATTTCATTAGATACTTTAGAGAAGCGATCTCAAATAATTATCACTTAGTACTCCTTGGAGATTTTAATATAGACATGAATAATCCTAAGTTACACTCACAAGATAAAACTTTCTTTTCTCGACTCAACCATTTGCATTTATTTGAAATGTTTTCAGTTAAATATGATCACTCTTAAATTAATTATCCTACTCATCAAAGTCCTATGTCGAGGTTACGAATTGATTACATTTGTTCTCAGCTGAAGTTATTTCTAATTTTATAAGTTGCGAAGTCCTGGATGTCGATCCTTCTTTGTCTAACCATTCTCTGGTCACTTTTAGTATTGAAAACTTCTTGGATATCCAGAATAATAAAAGGAATATTCCTTCAAAAAAGACCTATGATTATGATAAGATGACTGATGATAAATGGGATATTTTCAGTAATAAAGTAGATGCTTTAGCTAATGGATGCTACTTGTGAAGTCTCACCAACAAATTCTCCTTCAACCAGAATAAACTGAATCGATACTAGGACCTACTACAAGAATGCATTTTAAAAGTAGCCGATTCTAAAATCCCTTCACATTAATCCAAAGAGACATCATTCGATGAAAAGATCTCCACTCTTATTGAAATTATATAAGAGAATGAAATTTGTATATAAATTCAAAAAATTGGTTAGAGATATTTTAGCCAATTCTATAGTCTCTCCTAAATGGTCATCATCAATTAAAGAATTTTATATACTGTTAAACGAATTCAGTATACCATATGTCCGTTTACCTCATATTCCAACTGTTCTCATGATACAATCAATACGATTCTATATTGATCTCTTGCTGTGCTGCTTATTGGTGGAAGCTAAGTTATATGAATAGGATTACAAACTCAAATCAATTCAATTAGCTATTGGAAAACTATCAACTTTCTCCTGCTCATATGATGAACTCCCTTTTGAATTGACACAAACGATCGATTATCATCGATTGTTGCTTAAATAATGATTCTTTATCACGTGACCTATTAACTAATGACCATGAAGTTAAAAAGGAAGTTGCTCATCATTTTCAAATGGCAGCAGGTACTTTTCATGAAAATGTACCTTTGGATGATGAATGCCGTTCTTTTTATCAACCATTAGAGAACATTGATGCAGCCATTTATAACAACTTAATGGATCCTCCTTCAGCGGATGAATGGTATGATCTAATTGCGCATCTTCCAAATGGCAAAGCTCCAGGCCCATCCAAAGTATGTTTAAACACCTTGGCCCAATTACAAAAAAGCTGCTTTGGTATATCATATGTGAATGTTTAGCCTTTCATCAGTACCTCATCGTTGGAATCATGCTTTCATCTATCTGATTCCCAAACCCAAACTGTGGGAGTATGACTTAAATAATACTCGGCCTATAATATTACTCAAGTGTCCTCGCAAAGCACTTGTCAAACTTATTAACCAATGGCTCTCGATGATTATAGTGCAACACAATATCTTAAAAGGACTAAACTTCGCTGATCTTCTATTTAAATCTACATTCGAACCATTACATATTATCGACAATGTCAAATATGATGCTCTCACAATAAGAAGGACCTTTGCATCCTTCTACAAGATATGTCTAAAGCATACGATCGTGTCAACATTTTTATAATGATAAGAACTTTAGAAAGACTACGCATCCCATTTAACTTTCTTAGGTTCATTCTAAAAATTTTTGGTAACCGTCACAATCAAGTATTTACCTCTTTCGGCAATACTAACTCATACTAGGTCATGTTAGGTATAGACTAAGGAGAAATTATCTCACCGCTTCTGTGGTGTATTTATTATGATCCTCTTTTGTGTAGAATTCAAAACTCTGCATACGATACTTATTATCACACACGTGGAAACCAAATATTTTGCTCAATAATACTGAATC